CCACTCAAAAGTCAGTCTCTGGTGATTTTCTATCCCCAGAAACACTATTGAGCTATCCTTAGCAGCTTCTCCACCCTGGCCTCTAAACAGAGTATTACTTCCCTGCTGGCCCAGAGGGAGCCATCTGACTAAGAGCACCTGGAGTTATTGGCAGCAGATTATGCCCTGTGTTATTGTTGAGGGCTTTGGAGGGAGTAATGAAACACTGCGCTAAATCACTGGTGATTTTGGCTCTCTTGCATTCTACAAGGAGTTAAGTAAATCACTATAAAGCCTACACTGCATGTTTTAGGTCACTCTCTTCCATACAGCACCATGCTTTGTATGTAGCATTACTTTTTGGACTTTTTCTCTCCAGACTGCTTCAGATAGAAATAGAAGTGAAATGATCTGTCGCTCTACATTTTCTCTCTCTCTCTCGGTTCTCTCCGCAATGCCACATCAACTTTCCAAGTGGTATTAACAAAATCAATGGTCAAACAATCTGGGACAATTGGTTGTATATTGATGGAATTAAACCTCGTGTATGATGTGGCTTGTTGTTTATCTGGGCCCAGTCTTTACGCTCCAACAGCTCACAGACCGCTGTCCAACAAACACTCTGAATCAACGGCACAAACACACGTTTGAGGATGAAAATTATATTACTGTGCATGTTTTCTTGTGCTATAATTACCTCTGCTTCAATAATTCAATTTATCATAATAATTAAGAATGTAATTAACTTATAATCTTCAGTCTTTTTTTAAATGTGTTCACATGTGAAATTATTTTTCATGGATTAGATTTCAGTGGCAAAATGATTGACAACATCTTAATAGCAAACACATGCACTCAGCCAGACATTTTCAAAAGGACCATTATAAAAACGGGGCTTGGCTGTTCATTCTGAATAGGCTGAATCGTTACCAGGCCTCTCTCGTACATTTGACAACTTACATAATGCATTTCCACTAAAATAGCTTAAGTGTTAAAGCTTCTTTTATGGGCAAAAATTGATTCATGAATGCACTGAGGCGAAAGCTAACATGAACACAAAGCTTTCAATAACACCCATTTTATTCAGACTGTCAATGTATGAAGCGGTTGCATTAGACAAGGTGGCATGCTGATTGCTTTATGAAATCCAGGCTAATTGTTTTGTGGTGTAGTCCTTGGGGCACCCTGCATTAAGACAGGCCGAATGAAGTCAAATAAATATAGCTCTTTGCCCCCCCACCACCCTTCAACAACCCAACACGTACACACACACTGTACAGAGAGACCTTCTGCCTTGTGTGGCATTGAAAGTCGCTCTCCAGTGGCCACTTTGGTGATCAATGAAAGAGAATTTATATAGCAGTGGATATTGGCAATATTTCCATGACATAAGTCAGATCAAATTGCACTCTGTGCCCTGTAATAAATGTAATTATTTCACTTTGTACTAAAAGAGTATTTTCACCAAAGATCATGCCACTGTCAGAATGAGTGCGGAATTTGTACTCTTGTAATTTAGTTCATCCTGTTACTTTCAGTCAAGGCTATGAAGAACACGTGTGTATATTAAGTGTTTTTTGTTATTCAGAATAAAGATTTACAGGCACTTGAGATGAAGCTTGATGTCCTAGATAAATGCAAAGCTATGTTGAATGTACATCGCCTGTTCTTTTATCCATTTGTCCTCTTCTTTCATCTCTCCTCACATCAATACGTCCATTCATTACATTTTATCCATTGTATAACCTGTGTATAATCATGACATCAAAGGACTTTCTTTTGAGTAAAGTTTCTCTTTTTTCCTCCTGTATATAGTATTAATCTTCATCTGGAAATCCATTTAAGAATCATTCACGTTGGCTAAGTACATTTTTTAAAAGAAAAGCAAAACATGTACAAAGATTCTAGTAATAAAAAAGAATTGGAGATTGACTCCCTGGATATTTCTCCTGTCAGCTATTTAATTTAGTTAAAGAAATTACACAAATCCTTTGGGGGAAGATGTGCATGTGTATTTATTTATTATTGATTTTCCCCCCTGCGATAAACGTGTTAACGTTACAGATATTTGCAAGGGGATGAAGCTTTCTAAGTTATTGTGAAATGATGCAATGAAAGGCATCAAATAATCGTTATTCAGAAAGTCTCCCACACTGTTTATCAGATAGAATACATTATTCACAACCAATATTTTAACTACAGTCGTGAGCTGTGCTGTTTGGAGCCTATTGCTGATATTATAAAGTCTCATTCCTTCATTATAGCCGAATCTCTTAATTTAGCTAATTGGCTTTGTTATGATGATAACTAGATAATTCACTGGTGTAGAAGTTGTTCAGCAGCACTGCTGGGTTTATTATTGTTATCACAGTGTGGCAGCTGCATTTAGAGAATTGCCTCTGAGATGGTGGAAAAGTTTGAGTTGCTGTAAATGAAAATCAGACCATTTCAAGTCAGCAGGAAAGAAATTACTTTAATTTGATAACATCCAGAGTGAGAATTAACTGCTTAGAGACTATACCTCTAATTAAATCAAGTAAAAAATGTATGGCCTCATAATATCCACCCTCAAAATAAATGTGAAATTATACAGCAGATTATAATAATATAGTACTTTATCTGCAGCTTTATTTTGCCTCTAATACAAGCCACAGCGTCTTTCCTGTATGCTCAGATTGATCTTAATTCCAGATACTGAGGGCACAGGGTGGGGCTGTGCACAATGTGATCCATAATGGGTGAAATAATTGGTGAAAAGAGACTGGCTTGTCAAAATAACCACTGCGTTGCGAGGTTGATAAGCGAGAGGATGTGGACCTTCATCCAGAAGCAGGGCCAGCCAGCCAGCCAGCCAGAGGTAGAAACCAGCTAGAAAAAGCAGGCTTCCCCTTGGGCTTTCACATCAACCATCAAATGCTTGAGGTTTCTTAGGTCATGCCATTCACCAATTATTTGGATTTTATGTAAAGATGAAATGATTTTAGTTGGCGGAGGGGAGTTTAAAATGTAATGCATAAATATACTTGACAGGCAATGAGATCTTGCTGGCAAGGCTATTCAATAGTACGTTTTGTATGATGCTTTTATAAAAGGACTAGAAACCACTGCATGCCCTGTATGTTTAACAAGAAAAAGCCTATTCATCCTTGAATAAAAAGACACAATACACCAGGGCTTTATTCTTTATTTAAAAGCTGCGATATTCCATTTAAGAAAATCGATCATACAGTGGAAATGTGATTACATTTTTTTAATTCATTGCCAACAATGTGCGGTGTAACGAGGTTGTGTGGCCTTCAAACGCGTTTCCACATGGTTGGCTTGACTTCATCCACAAAATCCACTTTATTCAGAGGAAGAGCTGTTTTATGAAGGCCACAATACATTTAAAAAAGATGTTTTATTCACTTTTTATTAGGGTTTTTGTATCATACATTCAAAGCAAAATCATGCTTATTAAATCACTGATGACACGTAACCTTTTTGTAAAATGATCGCGTTGGTATTTTTTAAATAAATAAGTCAATGTTATTGTGCTTGTAAATTGACTTAACAGGAGTGCCAAGCACTCATCTGCACTTAAATATATCCGTAGAAGAAGGAGAAGAAGAAGAAGAAGAAGAAGAAGAAAGAGAAAACAACCCAATCACTAGATGTTGATTCAAATGGTTTTGAAATGATTGAATTGCTGGTTATGATGGGAAAAGACAAACTCCCTACAAACACTCAATCAGAGCCATACAAAATATAGTACAAAAAAAAAGACAACTTGATAGAGATGTTTTCAAAGATGCTTAAATACTTTGGATAACTGCTTGAAGGTCGAGGACATATTCACATAGGTTGAGGCTAATGTTGTAAAACACTGAGGTTGGCATCAATTGAAGGCCTGAATTTGTCATTGGTGCAGAGATGAATGAGCGAGATGAATCAGTGGGTAGACTTTTTGCGCTGAATTGACAACCAGTCACCACAATGCCACATTTTTGCCGCACTACAACCTCACCTTCACCAGCTTATTCAAAAGAAGTTCGTCCCTTTAACCACGAAACATCTTTTAAGCGTTCCCCGTGAAGATCAGTGTGACCTTGTCAATTTGTTTAGTATTGTGTTTCAGTAAAATTGTTAAAAAGTGATCTTTGGTTTGTCCACATTCCCAAGACTATTGTTGAGGTTTAAGTTTGCACACTTTCTTGCTTCAGAAAGATCCAGGTGCCCTTTCACATTAACTTGTTCCAGTAATTTTTAGTCAGGTGGTACTGTATTTTCCTTCCAGACAGTCATTTTGGTGAAAAACATCTCAGCGATATTTCATTTTTCTGACAGTTCTTTCTGCAAGATTTACTCGTCTTTGCACTCGACAAGCCTTTGTGTCAACAGTGAGGGCATCGTGCCATCTCGATATCTGCGGGGTCAAAGGGTGAGGGTCAAAGCAGCCTTTCGGACCTTTTAGGGCAGTCCACACTGCGGTGCACTGCTGAGAGATTCTGTTAGATAGGGATTGCTATGATATCCAATCGTCTGTGTCCTTTATTTTCCCTGCAGCCATCAGCAAGCTTATTATCATGTCCCTGTCTGCTCCGCTCCACTCTGCCCTCATAGCAAACAGGTCTAATTGTGTCTCGTAGCTGCAGGCTCAGAGCGGAGGGGGGGGGAGTGGGTTTAGATGAGTGATACTCAGTGATGTAAATGGCTGAATAATATGGCCCGAGCGTTTGTGGTGGAGCTCTATCTCTCAGCGGTAATCTAGGCCATCGGGGACCCGCCAGTATGCATCATCCCCCATCAATGAGCCTCTCCGCTGGTTGGTAATTTATTCACTGCTACAGCGGTTATTGATAAAGCACTTAAATACAAATTCCCCTTCTTTCCCAACTGCCCTCCTCTGCGCCGTGCGACGCTCTGTGTTGTAATATCACAGCGTGGTCTGTGTTGTCTGTTTATCTACTTATATTGTCTGTGTTGATCTAAGGTGTTCTCTGTGTTTTCTCTTTCTACTTTTCTGACTGTTGCTCTCCCAGGAGCTCGTGACGGTTCGGTCCAGTCTGACGCCAGCAGCAGTCCCTCTGAACTGAGTCAACTGGGCCAGTCCCACCCAGCATACCCAATGGGTCCACAGGTGAGTCAGGGGATCTGCAACAAAACGAAGCCAAACTTAAAACACTCTGTTTAATCAGTGATAATGTGAACACATAAGCTCAGATTTTGATTGAGGCAGGAAGTTTGCAGAAGAGGTATGATGCCTGTCCTCAGCTATAACAGTTGAGTCACCCTCTTTTATGTAAAACTCACAGAGGTCTGGAGAAAGTTAACATAAACATGTAAAGGAAACTGGCATAATAAGATGTTAGACACACAAATGTAAAAGAGTTTGTGCTCTTGGACCCAGTATTTTCAAGCAGCAGTGTCAGTTGTGTGCAGCCAAGGGTAACCGTGTCATATAGAAGCACACAAACAACAAAAGTTGGAGAAGAAGTTGCAAAAAGAATCAATTTATTATCTCTTGATCTGCCATTGTTGTTTGTCTGCCTATTTATTGCCCCTGAAAACTTCAAATCTTCAAAGTATTCCTTTAAAACATACGAACTATTGTCACATTTATTCACATGTAATACATTGATTCTTTTTTCCTCTAATTATACCGTCCATCTTGAGGCAGCCTTTGATTGGCTGTGAGTTTGGAAATGCCTGTCTTCTAAAAGAGGACTTCTTGTTTGATTTTGGTTGGTTATAAGTTCTTCACAGTCTTTTTAATGGCTTTAACTATTTTGACCCTATTTTTACTCATTTCAAACCTCTAAAAATTACTGCGAAACATTGAACAGATCTAGGGAAAAAGCTGCCAGCCTCATCTGGTTTCAAACACCTGCTCCACACCTAGAGGAGTTAAGAAGGAAAGGGACACTGGTATATAATACTTATATCAAATCCAGTGAAAAAATGTGTTATTGTAAGTAGGTCAAAATGCCTCCATCTGACTGTGTTGACCGTCCCTCATCAAATAACCTTAATATAGGAACAATGTAGACTGTATGAAATCAAAATTCCCGTTTTAAGCACTTTCTGAGTTTCTGTGCTGAACAATCTCCACTGGTTTGACTGTAGCAGTCTCACACCGTAACCATCAGTGTGTGATACAGTAATGATGATAAATGATCGGACAAACCGGGGCCGGGTGCATGAGAAGTCAAGGGAGGACCGAGTTCTCTGATTGGTTGGCTTAAGTATCCTTCTTTTTGATGATGAGCGGTCCGACGTTGTCTCCGGTCCCCTCGTTGTGTTTGTGGGCTCCGTCGCATTTTTCTGCCTCCATGAGAACACGCTGCTCTTTTTTTATCCATTCGATGACCACTGCTGCACACGTGGAGAATGAAAGCACTCGAAAGAGCCAATCTAAGTTTGTAGTGAGTAATTTGAAAGATTGACAGTTTACTCTGATCACAGCCATAATGGGAGTTACATTAAAGTGTTTGCATGGCCGTTTCAGTAATAAAATCACTGTCTTAGTCTTGTTACATTCACATCCTCTCAGTGCATGTGGTGAGTGAAACCAAAAACATAAAACACCCTCACTGACGCTGAATAATTTTCAGCTAAAATGTGAAATCGTAAAGTATTTTGTCATCACACATCATCTTCACATGTAATTGAGTTGTGGCACTAATGAGCTGATAATACCGGCCTTGTCAAAACAAGCAGGGGAGCAAAGAGCCCGAGCCTGCAGCCCTGTTAATAGCTCAATCAGGAATTGTCCTATCTGATTGGATTTATTGGCCTGGTGGCTCGGCGATGTTTAATGAACATCTATCTCATTAGTGTTGCTCAATGTCACCGCTCAACACGCACAAGCACACACACAGAGAGCGTCAGGTTTCCTCCACCCTCTTTAATAAGGCCATTCTCTCTGCACTCAGTGTTACTCAATGACAGTCAATCCTCATCAGGATAAACAAAAGAGGAAACACGAGAGGGGGGGAGAGCCGTTTCAGTTCTGTCGGGCAGGTTTGTGGGGAGAGAAATCCCCAGTGAAAGTCAATCTGCTGCAAGTGGAGATAAAAAATGAGCTTAATTAAAAGCACTTTTCTGATTACAGATACCCTCGCTGGTCAAAGCCACTGTTTGGGTAATAGATAAGAAATAAACACAAAAGAGAAGGCATCTCGAGCAGGCAGCAGTTAGAGTCTGAGCCTCAGCAGGCGGCTCTCAACAGTCACCATCTAATATATTAATGCTGTCAGTACAGTCACTGTGAAGCTAACACTTTTCAGAAACAAAGGCGCTCCGCATGCCATACCCAATTCTCTTGTTCCAGGATCAATATGTTTTGATAGATTCTCGCTCCAGAGCCGGATATTGTTCGAACAACCATTATCCGATGGTAGTTTACCCAACATGAATCCACCTTCCTTCTGTTTCCCACTCGCAGTTAGGATGACAAAAGTCTGCTATCTGGGTGATTATGGGCAATTTCTCAGTGCCAGAGCTGCCAAGCAGATAGAAGGGCCTATTCTCCCCTGATGGGCAGAGAGGCTGGGTACCACATCCAGTCCTGAGCAGGGCTGCTTCCCCATTCAGATCCCAACACACACCCAGTCTGTGCATCCGTGTGGCCCCTAGGAGAGCGCTTCTCAACACGCAGCTGTCAGGCCTGCCAAGCAAACTGTACAACAGCTTTTCCAACAGCACCTATGGAGAGGAGGAGTGAGAGTTTCAGGCAAAAAGGCAAAAGGTGCTTGAAACTGCTTGTAAATCTAGATGAGTGATGCTGGAGATTCCCGTAGTAAAAGCTTGCTGTGTGGCTGCAGAGTTGAGCTAATTATATTCACTCTAAATTTATTCTTATCTCTGATTTTGATGTGTGCACATACAGCGTTCTCACCTCAGATGAAGATAATAATCAGTCTTAAACTGGCACAACAAACAGCCTAAAGACTAAGAACTCTTCCTTAAACAAAAAAAATCTCTTTAAAAAAGTGTTCTCTCTGCTGCTTGTGTGCCTAACAGCTGCCTGTTTCTCTAAAGCTGCCTGTAATGATAAATAAATCAGGGCTACATCTGATAATTGCAGGATTGTCTTTTAATGTTATTCCCTTATATGTGAGGCTGTCTTTGCTGTCAAGCCTGGCAATCTCATTTTGTTTGACTCCGAGATGAAATGTTCAAAGAGTGTCTTTGATTATATGCTGCTTCAAATCAAGATTACATTTAGTTTAAAATGCGAGATTAAACATATGTCACTTGCAGCTAACAAACGGGTTGCCTTTGTTATTGTCCTTTGAGGATTCTTTGAGCTCCCGAATTATTAATTCATTTTTTAAAGTTAATGGCAAATGTCATTTTGAATGCTCTCAGAAGCGTCAGATATTGTCATTTGTTATGTACTGTTGTTGCGTATCAAAGCCAATGTTGAGAAAGAGGAATCCTATAGCGTGTGTGTGATTACTCTTGCCAGCAACAATCGTCACTCTGTGCCTTTTTATTCTTTTAACAGCTTAGAAACACAAACAGGTATTCATTCGTCTCTCACTGCAGATATTTCACCCTGAGATCTCTCCATGCTCTGTGGCTTTAAACCCACATGACCTCGTACCTCTTAAACTGTGATCACATGTATGTCGGAGTAGGTGCAGGCATTCTACACCATGCAGGGTTATCACAGTGACACGCCTGTCACCCAGGAGCACCAGGCTTGGGAGCATGGTGGGGTCTTCGCACCAGTCAGCCCGCTCCGCATCCTGTGCAAGCTGCAGACACACCATGCAAAACAGAAGCAGATAGCTGACAATTGGAGTTAAAGGCTTGTGAACGTAAGTCACAGAGTCAACACAGTGCAGCCAGGCTTACCTAGCAACGTCTAAAGGCTGCTTTACTGTGGACGCAACACAAGCTGACAATGTACTTTTATTAAATTTTATTCCAAACAATTCAATTCGATGTTTAAACAGTAATTTTGTTGGATTTTGCAGCATCTTCGGTATCTCCTGTCTCGTACCTCGTGTGTAAATTCAGTTTGACATGCTCAAACGCTGACATAATTTGAAAAGGGTTTTATCAGAATGAATGAAATTTAAGATGTCATTCCCTGCGTATTCATGGAGATTTCAGCCACGGTACAAACCTTCCCACTTGTGGCTCAAAGCTCTTAAAAGAAAAAAAGGTGTATTTCCAAACCCACTTCCTCGGAAAATACATTTGACGAGATCTTCTACTGTGTAAAATATCTCGGAGCGATACTTCTGATAACGTATCTTTTCCTCTTTGGGTATGACTGCACAGATTCCGCTTTAGCTAATATGAATGAATGGATACATGAAGAGACGAGAGTGATGTGTTATATCCCTCATCAAAAGAGTGAAGTACTGCTACTTTCTTTTTTTCCCCGAAAAGCACTGTGTATTTCAGGCACATTTCTGTGGTACCACAGATTTGTTCAATGGGATGAAACATAAATCACTCTGCATCTCTGTGAAAGAAAAAATGTGCAGCTCTTTCACAAAGATAGGATTTGATCTCTGTCAGTACCAACGGCAGTGTGTTTTTACTGTCAGTCTGTGACACAGCAAAGCCTAGAATTAATCTGCAAAACAACTGCATTCGTCAGAAAACATTGATTAGTGATACAGTCGCTACTGCTGTACTTGTCTCAATTAAGCATCCCAGGATAGAAAATAGTGTAAATACATCAACTAAATGGGATGCCTTTAGGAGTGTTCAACAACACACAAGTAATGACAGGTGATAATTCAGTTATTGACTACAGAGTAATCTTATGTCATCATTCTACAAAATTCTGGGATTAATGATTTTGAGCAAGCTGTAGTTAAAAACAAAATAAACTTGAGTTTGGTCTCATGTGATAACTTACAGTGATTCTTCATGATTTAAACCAGCGTTACGTACAAGAGTACATTAATGGTATTTTGCCTTAATGTTAGATGTTACTGTAATCGACTACATTACCTAATATTGTTTTCGTATTAGAGGAAACACTTTATATTTACATTTAACTTTGGGCATGTTTAGCTTCTGTAATGTGACATATTTTCGCACGTGGATGAGTTTTAGTTACTAGAGAGCTAAAAAGAGGGGCGTGTCTTAGTGAAAACGGTGACACACAGTACCAAACTGTGGAGGGAGCTGCAGACGATCGTTGGCCTCCACGTACGCCTCCCTCACCTGAGCTGTTAAACTAGGAATCAGGAAATATTTAGCATGTAATGAGACAGGTAACTGAACAATAAACACAAGAACACAGGATTAGAAGTTATTTCTAATCTGTATTTGTATTTGTATAAAATGTGAGATAGTTGAGAATTTACTTTCATATAATTTTCTTTTATGTACCTCAAATATGGTAATGTAATTTGTCTGTCATTAAAAGTAATCACATTACAAGCAGTAATGTAATTTAGCTTACAGTATAAGAAGGACCAAAATGTTCAGGACGACACAATAAAGATATATTTGGTCATATAAAAACCGTCTATAATGATAAACTACCCATCTGTGCTTATATAACCAATGATGCTATGCATGTGTGTTTCAGTCTCTCCTGGTGGCCCAGCAGCTGGCCAACGCAGTAGGCGGCGTAATGTCCGGGGCCACGCCAGGCATGAACCAGCCCATCCTCATCCCCTTCAACGCAGGCGGACACCTGGGCGGGCAGCAGGGCCTTGTTCTCTCTCTGCCCACAGCCAACATCCAGAGCCTGGTGGCTGCTGCTGCTGCAGGGGGCATCATGACGCTCCCCCTCCAGAACCTGCAAGGTAAGAAAGAGGGCCAAGTAGAAATACAGTTATTGAAAAAAACCCGTTGACAAAACAGGGTCAACATGATATCCCAGAAAGAAAGTCGCAAATAATTCTTCTACTGTAGGAAGCTGATGGATGTTCTGAAAAGACTCACGGTCATGTAACACTAATGAAGGTTTTTCTGTATTATACATATGGAACACATCATAGAACATGAGACACCAGGAACTATTAGCAATAAATACAACAAACATTGATCCCAACAACAGTTTGTTTTACGTTCATTTTATTACATGGAACTGTTTGTTTTTTTGTTTTGTTTTTCTTTAATAAAATGCTTTGCAAAGCTTTTGAGCAGGTAAGAATCCTTCAGGGGTTTGTATCCCAAAAAGCCGCTATCCTCAACTTGCCCAGAGGAACAACCGTATTAATTACAGGTCAACGTTTTGCAGTGCAGCGCAAAAGCACTTTATGCCTCTTTCCTGTGCATAAGAGTGCACTGTACTTCACTTTTTTATCTCTTTTCCACCTCATCTGTCCATCCACATGGCTGTACTTATCTTTGCCTTTTAAACTTTAATGCCCAAGTGTTCTCTTTTGATCATAGTTGTAAATGGTTTTCATTTTAATGTTTAAAACATTGTCTCTTTTATACCATTAGATTGAGGGATGGATGGGGAAACCGTCAGTCATGAATCTTGGATGAGAGAGCTGCACTAATGTAAAAAGATGCCAGGCTACATGTAAAGCAGTGTGTTTTTAGGATGGAGATTACAATAATGCCAGTGCAGCACAAAGTGCAGGGGAAGGCTCCCTTCATATGGGGAAATGGATGGACAGATGCCCTGAGTGAGGAAATGTGAAGGTAGAAGCCTAATGGACACAAACATGCATAAATAACAGCAGCCACCGCTGTGGGCAGAGCTTTTAATAAACCCACATCTATCCAGTGAGCCCTTCAATGTATCCATCAGTAGTGGACGATAATGGGCCCAGCAGGCCAGTCTGACTCACACTTCAACAGATCTTACTCCTGGCGCATGAGGGACAACCCAGAGGCCTCAGTGATCTGATGAACTGATCGACAAACACATTGTCAGGGTGTCAGAACGCCAAAACAAACACCTCTCAGTCATCCTTATTGTCCACTACTAAACAAACCAACAGGCAGTCTGAAATCCAGTGTTCTCATAAAATTCTCCATCTATGAAAGATAGCAAAAAAAAAAACTGTTGTGGAGAAATGCCTCTGTGGCAGATCTTTTTTTAAGCGTGCGGACTGACAGACTGCCTGTTCGCACGTCCTCTTATCTGAAGGGGATGCATTGAAGGGACCTCCATGGAGAGAAAGTGACACAAGTCACGAGTGAAGCTAAATGTCTTGACTGTGTCCGGGCCCCTCTGGCCACGCAGCGCTCCTCCACTCTCCCCTGTCTGAGTTCATCACAGCTCCGCTGAATGAGGCCTGCTGGCACAGCACCTCTGTCAGACAACTGCAACTCTAGCCTCTGCCCCTGCGTCCCCCACGCTTCCCCTCCCTTCCCCTCCGGGTCTCCAGGCCTGATTAATCACACATATAATACAGCGCTGCGCTGTCGCCAGGGAGCAGTCAGCTCATTTCACGACCTCAGGAGCAAGTGTGCTTTACAGCACTCACGCTGCTAGCTAATTAGCGTCAGATCAGACACAAGACAACTGTGAGGCACAGTAATGAGACTCCAGGAGGAGCCCAGCCAATGGCTGTATTTAAATGTAATGAGGCGGCTAATGACCAACTAATAAGGCTGTTTGTCTTGGGGAATGGGCGGTTGAGGGTGGAGGAATTGTATTCTATGAGACTACAAGCCGACATGCTTATACTGTAGTCTCTTTGTAAGAATGAAATGTTTAATAATCAGTTATATTAGATACAAATTAGGTTGTTCAGTCCAATTTGTTCTTGCATTTCGTACATTTTCATATTCAGCTTTAATGAGGGATATTAAATGAAAAGACGAAATCAGAACAAACAGGGACAACAGCATCTTTGATCACAGGTTTTGATCATGCTAATCAAAGCTGGCGCTGTGAGAATAAATGTTGACAGAAGAGAACCGGCTGGACTGCTGTGAGCTTTAGGAGGGCAGCTCTCTCAGACTGTGATGAATAACTATCACTGTAATGGGGTTGTGCTATAAAGTTGGAGCGGTTGCTTAAATAAAACTGAGCAGCATCTTGTGGCAGACTCAGTAAACACAGGCACCAGTGTAACTGGTTATTTGTCAGAATGATTTATGCCTGCAAACATGCAGTAAAAACAAATTCCCAATGAAACTAAACAAGGGAGAAAGTTATCTTTTGTGACAGAGTGCACACAATTCTAGCTGACTTCACAGAGGCAAAAACTAGGTTGGGTCATGCTAGAGGTCTGTAAATATGACGGCTCATAAGAATAAAAAAATAAATCATACATGATTTTCACAATTTCGAATATAAGTACGTACAGCTGATGCAGGCAAAACGTGCAGATTATTGTTGTTCGATATAATGCTAACTTTCTGCTGCATTTTTAATAGGTTTAGATTTCACGTGATTTTATAACAAGCAAAGCATGATTACCATACTTGTAAAACTAGTTGTATCAAAGCACTGTACATGCAATGCCCAATGGGAGGAAGCAGAACAAAGTCTCATCTGTCTACTCCTCTTCTCTATGACTCACTCAAAGGTAATGCAAGAAGCTAGTTTACTGGAGCTCTTTCATATTAATAAGCATATCCCATCTTATTTGCTCTCAGCAGAAAGCCAGGCAGCGCATCACATCAGAGAACTGAGTTCTAATGGTGAGGTGAGAGCATTGTTCCTCTGTACTCGTCCGCAGGAAACACAAAACAGCACTCAAGCTTCCCGATAAAGGTCGACATCCCACTCACCTGCAGTAATGAGACCCGATGTCAATGCCAATCAAAGGCATGTCTGCCGTTTTTTGATGAAAACGCTCAGCGGTGTCGTTCGCCGGTTGCGGGTGTTGGCATGATACAAATTAGGGAAATCACTGTGCTCATTACACCACCAAAGGGTGGGCTCCTGGGGGGGGAAGAACCAAATGTTTCCACACTAGTTAGATATGTCAGACTGCATCTCTTCTGCCTCAGCTGACTGCTGCTCCTTTAAGAGGTTAGATCACCGGGCCGGGCCACTGACTTAACCTCTGTGTGCTGTGGGAATGCCTCTGTGTCCCTTTACCCATTATATTATCGGAGATGGAGAATTCAAAGCATCCTTTTTGGGCTTGTTATAGCTGCACCGGTTGCTCATTGTGGGCTTCTTTTTCTCATGTGTGTATTTGTCGAATCATTTTGGGATGAGGAAAGAAATAAGCCATTGTTTTTGTGCACATTCAGCCAGTAGAGGAGTACATTAAGAGGACCCAGTGCAAGCAGTCCACATTTCCTCACATCAACATCTGCCATCTTAACACAATAGAGGCCAAACCCATCCCTTCTCCCTTATCGCTGTTTAATTTGAGGTGTTCTCAAGCAGTATGTATTCCACGTCGTCCTTTAATGATTTAACTTTGCTGTGGTTGTAAGATGAGTCGCAGGGGAGAGAGCTGCATTAAATAAATAACAGTGATAAAATGTAGACCTCATACATTTCAAAGCTAATGCAACTAGCGGTGCAATAGGAGCAGCTGCACACAGTCCTGGAGCGGTAATTTGATTGATTTGTTGTGACAGCAGCCAAATAATTGAGAGTGAGAGGTGCTGCTGGAGATGAAGCGCAGGCAGAGGCAGGTTCGCCAGGCAGTCCCAGCAGATATGGCACCCGGGTTCTCATCTCTGCCATTGATATCTGCCAGTGGTTTATTGTTTGTCTTCAATAAGCAGCTTGGAAACGTGTGGGGTTACTGGCTTTGTGACAGTTTGGCGACGGAAAGGAGAAAAAAATCACCAATCAAAATGTACAGAGGAGCGATGAGAGGGTTCGAATCAAACACACACGATTTACACTCGGGATGATGCGCAGGTTTACTGTACATGCACACACAGACACTCCCATGAGACTCATGATTTATACTCTGATGTCTTTTTTGAAGTGGAGATGTAAGTAAATTTTACCCCCTGTTGTTTCACTTGTTGCAGACACGCTGATGATTTGTTCTGAATTCACGTTACATATATTTCATAATTGCACAAAAATAACAGTACAAATTATTCACGTTGTATTTGAATATACAGTAGGTTTTTTTTTATGTATGCATCCCAAGATATTTATATTTTATATAAATATATATATATATCTTTTCTGTTTACAGTTGTACTGTTTGTCTTAACCTTCTGGCTCTTGACTCATGTTTTGTTTCTGTGGATGGTGGCAGTGTCACTCTGGCTCAGCCATGCCACAGGACAGCACGCTGCCAGAGCCTGAAATAGAAAGAAAGAAAAGAAAAAGGGGGGGAGGATGAGTCTTTATGGCGGTGTGGAGGAGGACAATAATATTGTTAATCAGATGTGGCTGTGTCTGCTCCTCCACAGCAAACCCTGACATCTGCCCTCACTGGTAAACACTGAGGGAGGCTTTTTGCAAACCTCCTGCCATAAACACACATACAAGACGGTCTCTCGACATTACACACTGTTGCTGTTTGCTGCACCGTGAATGCAGAGAGTGTAATGCATTTATTTAAGTGGATTTTGTCGTAGAAGTGTAGTAGGCGAGGATAGGTTTCCCAATTAGAAGTCTGAATGTTAATATGACAAATTCTCAAATTAGCTTCCAATTACATGAATGATTAGGAACATGTAAAATTGTTCCATTTTAATCCAGCTGTTTTCTATTCCCTTAGCTCCTGAGCTATAACAGATTACCTTCTGCCTGGTGTAATTAAGTTTTTAATGTGAAACATGCACGTGCGTTTTGTCTTCTCAACCAAATTAACAGTTTACTTGAAAAATATTACAAGTTATGTGAGCATTTTTTAAATAAAAGCTCAATTATCTGAAGCTTTGCTAAAATCGTCTGCACGCTGATATCCTTAATAACTATTCAGTATCTAAGATTGTTGCATATATTGATTGGATATCCCCCAACAATCATGCACAATCAATACAGTTAATCTTTTCATCATCACATAATCAGCATATTGTTCCTGTTGAGTAGACCAGTCGATCACAAGTCTTAGGGAGCACTGAATCTGATATAAATTACAATACATAATGCTGTATTGTTTTCATGATATTTCAACACTTGTAAAACGCTTCCAGTAAATGCCTTGACCACTTGGCCCTGGAGTTGTTTTGTAGAAATTACATCTCACTTTTTCTTTTTTTTTTCCTCTCCCTTTTCCTGGCCAGACTGTTTCCGAAAGATTTGCTAAAGGTCTGCCATATTGCTGAGGCGCAATTCAGAAGCTTTCAGCAACAATCTGTAGTCAAGCATTTTAAATGAAAATTGATTTGTGATTTACATGGTCAGTGAGGGGAAAATGAACTTATGAAATGTTGTAAATGAAATATTAGACAAGGTGCAGTGGGAGAGAGCAGACAGAGATGGTAATCTTGTGGAACTGGAATTCCCGCCTGGCAGAACTGGGTGACATTTTACATTTATCTGTGTTCTGCATGAATTGTAATGTTAATGGTAATTTTATGGGACTGAACCGGAATGAAAATGGTGTTATCACCGATTGCTTCAAATGTGGAATTGTGTAAAGTAGCACAGCTGCATCCTTTATTTCCCATTCCCCAGCAATGTGAGTTATTGCATGATCTGTTCTCTGAGGTTGAATGTGTGTATTCAGCCTGTTTTTATCAGTCGGTTCTACTCACAGCGCCTTATATCACACACCTTTGCCACAGGATGAAATACACAAACTGCTTTATTTTGATATTAGTATAAATGCCACATTTCTATGTGAATGTTTCTCACATTTATTCAGCAGGTCTTTGTTTTTGTTAGTGAGTCCCTGTGAATTTGCATCACAGGTACTATGTATGAAAGATTGAATAGGATGTTAATGGCCGTTTCCTCTCATTGTATTGTTGGCATGACTTTGTTATATTAATTTTTTTGTGTCTAGAGGAATGTTTTCATATAAATAATCTACTTAAAGTGCAGTAAAAAATGTGATATATCCTCACTTTCAATATAACTGTATATAACATTATAATGTAAACTAACATATTGTCAATATGGATCTATCACAGACTTAATAATACAAGCAAATCAATGTAGCATTACGCTACAATCAATACTGCTTACACTCAGACCAGATGTTCTAATTTTGATCGATACCTTGTGCAGTGAATGTTTCCTATTCCCACTCTGGCCGTGTGCAGCATGTATGGATTTTCATAGAGCTCACTCTTCCATGTTTGAAAGCAAAAAGAACCAAAGAAAGAACAAACAAAGTGATCCTGCAGCAGCAGAAGCTGTGGGAGTCTGGGAGCCAGCCTGGATCACACAGAGGTCATTTTTAAACACGGCTCTCCAGTTCCCCGTCTGTGAAACCAAAGAGTCCGCGGTGACATTTGTCAGCAGATGGTATGGAACCAAACCCCTCACCAGCCGGGACGTCTCAGCTCCTGCTAAAAGCTATCTGTGGTTACTAATTGCTGACCAGGGCCTAATTACCTTAATTAATGGTCGAGGTATCTGGGGGCCAGATTTGTGGGGGCTTTTATCAGTATCAGTGCAGCTTAAAAGGTCCCGTAGGAGGCCTGAGGAGCGTGTAAGTCCCGTGGGTGCTATTTCTAGACTAACTGCAGACACATCACAGATGGATCCTGTGGCATCAGTACAGGACGGCATGTTTGGAGAGAGATATCTGTTACTTACAGATCATAAGTAAGCCTCACCAAGAACATATCAGGCTAGAGAGGGGGGAAAAAAGGCTTTTCCTGCCTCTCTTTCTGAATATATTTTCTACTTCTCTCTCTCCTACACGCGAGCCTGTTTCCTGAATTACACTGCCGTAATTCACAATGACAAAGTAGACTTAGCACCTTTTTCCACAGACCGTGGGGGGTTTTGTTCAGTGAGCTCTCACTGTGAAATTAGCCCTGGTACTTTCATTTTCCAGCTGCAGTGAAATGGTTAAAAGACACAGATCAGCCAGTATGAAAATAGAACTGATTCAACAAAATCTGCTGCTTCCCCTTGCTTGCTCCTCACCCATCCAGCAAAAAAAAAACCCTCCCTCCTCCCCTCCACCCCATTCTTCCTCTTACCCCACCTTTTTCTTTTTTCTCAGCTACTATCCCATCCTCACCCCCTCCCCCAACCCCGTCAGGCACCTTGTCCGCATCTGGAGAAGGCTTGTAAGTTTCGGGTGCATACATTTCTTTTGATGATATATTGTCCCGGTGCGGAATTTCATTTACTGCCGCTGCCCTTTGCTGAACCTGTTGCTAGTCAGTGAGCACGATAAGCGTATAAGTAGCATGCTACTTCATTCATCATACATCGTTCTGGGCTCTCAAATATCTCATATGCGATTCAGGAAGAAACTACTAAACCGGCACAAAGGATCCCACCAGGATCAGCTGAGGTTCCATTAAACACTGTGTACAAAATAGCGCACACTTGGTAGTTATTATCAAATACACATTTTCAGCGTTGCATGTACAAAACATTAGCCTTCATTTCGTGGTGTACACGTTGTTTATGTAGCAGTGGGAAAATGTATCTCAAGTGCGGTGCTCGTGTAGTACATAATTCCATTCACATTGCATTTTGAATGCATGCATTTTGAAATCTGTTTTTTCCCTCAATCATAGTGGCTGCTCTGTGTTGTATTAAACAGCATTAATAATCACAAGAGGCTCAGTGTCACTCAGAAGTCTCCACATCACTAAGGCAGACAGTGTTGTGCTGCTGGGCATGTTGTGCTGTGTGAAAGTGCTTACACGCTCCCTCAGACAACCAAAGGGAATAATTAAAGACAGAAGATGGAGGCAGAAGAATGGAAAGCAAATCCCATTGTTTGGGGTTATTTCATCCCACTGAATTTCTTTTTCTCACTTTCTTTTCGTTCTCTTCTCACATTCCTCCCCAAATGCACTGTGGGTATGTGGCACGCTATCAAAAGCATATGTAAGCGAAGCAGCGCAGAACAAAAGCCCTATGATGTCCTCCTCATGCCCACATTGTCTTTTGATTATTCTACAATCATTTTATATCTGTGTAAGTTGGAAAGGAAGGGAAGGCTTAATAACCCCATAATATACAATACTTTAGCTGCTCAGAAACCGCAACGCAAGACGTGATTTAGACGATTTGAAAACAAGCTTGCTTATTCATGATTTGTTCTCGTTTTCTCTAATGGCGTAATTTCTTCAAGCCCTCAATATCCGAGCTGTTACCAAAATAATCCACAATGAAATTCAAATTTAAGGTGAACTAGACTATTAGGCCAACTCTACTCCACTCCATTTCCAGAGCAGTAAATGTAGCCCCTCAATCTCTCGCAGCTTTTACTGTCAGTCAGAGAGCACTCAGTCATCTCCGTGCATCAGGCCCGCAATATTGATTTTTCCACCCACTGAAACAGCCGCATGAACATAAATTTTGCATGAGGCTTTTACTCGCGGCCTCTGCTTTGGTCTGACGACACATGATGGGACCATGAACACGCTGTAATAACCCAGTCTGTCCTGCCAGGCAGACAGGCTCTTTTTTCTTAAAGAAGGGAGGGGGTCCGGCAGCTTCTGGACTCTGAAGGACAAAAGCGAAGGACCCCTTACTGGGCACCACAGTGCTACACAGTGTCCACATAGTATGAAATCAGAGTGAAACCATGTCCAAAAACAGGGAAAGCTCTCAGTGTATACATGAGATGTAGCTGGTTTGGTTTTGTTCTGAGGTGTTGGCGATAACAGTATAGTTAGATTTAATTAAATCATTTCTTTTAATGTGATTTCTTGAAAATGTAAAGCATTGAAACTTCTAGAAAATGCATAAAAAACAATGAATTAACTACATCTTGAGGTTTCTAATCATAAATCTTTCAAATGCTTCATGTAATTGAATAAGGTTTTGTCCCAAAGAACTACATCTGCAAAGATTTTTAGTTTTAGACCTACATAAAAACAGATGCCTTGTGCCCTGGAGGGCCAAGTGTTTGCAGATTTTTCTTAAAATCAGACACTGCACCAACTAATTTTACTGATTAACAAACCCTGGAGTAGAGAGAGTTCAGCTAAGCTAGGAAATTAACTTTTGTAGTCTAACTCATTAGCACATATTTTGATCGCACAGGTTGGTATTAAAAAGTAGAAAAGGCTACAATTTAGAGTAATCATTATATGTTTTCTCTCAGGAAGGAAATCATGAAATTAAAATAGATCTTACTGTGACCCCCTGGAACTCTCTCAAGGGCCCCTAGAGGTCCCTGGACCACACTTTGAAAATCAATAACCTAGCGTAAGCAACACCAAAAGGGCAACATTATCGAGCACACAGGGATTTTCTTGTATGTGTAACATCTCCATGGAGAGGATTTGATTCTTTGAAATGCTTCCCCCAGAGTGAGAATTCTACAACACAGCTTGATATTGCCTTGCATCACAAAGTGAAAGCATTATCTCTGGATCCCTACAAGCGATGTGGTTTACTCTCTAAAACCCTGTGGCTCCGCGACTCCGCTCAAATCTTAACTGCCTATATTTTTTTTGTAGTCGCTGAGTTCCTCCTGCAGCAGGACTGAAACAGTGATATTGCCTGCTGTTGCTCTGAGTAATGTTTTTATTCAGTAGATCACCACTTCCTTTAACGTTTCATTTTCTCTATGTTTATTCCACCCGTTGCCAAGGCAGGAATCTGTTTTCCGTTCCTTTAACATGATTACCATTTGCATGGACTCACTGGTAACTCAAATGTGTGTTCCAGGTTGTGTTAAGAAAACCTGTGAAACCTTTGTTTGTCTTTAGCCGGTGAAATTCCAACTTTGCTTTGGGTGTGCCTTCCAATATTAAAATACATTAAACCATATTCAAATATGTTACTAGTACAGTGCATTTACTCATTGTACTTGTAAGTATGCATTTTAAATACATCTATTTTATGCCACTTTATACTTCTTCTTCACCACATTTCAGACATAGATATTGTACTTTTTTTTACCCCGCTGCATTTATTTGACAGCTGTAAGAATGAAACACAGTACACAGTAAAAAATGATCCAATTTGCATTATGAGTACTACTACGTTTGATACTTTAAGTATGTTTTTAAAGCAGGGATTTCACTTGTAATGGTGTATTTATATTGTAGTATTGCTACTTTTGCCACTGGTGATGAGCCAGTTAAGTGAACTTAAGTTGCTAAATATAAAATTTTGGTAATTTATTCATTGTCTTTGTTATTTATGAAGCAAATTCCAAAAGTTAACGTTAAATTCTCAACACATTGCTTGCAATTCTTTATTTTTTTTGTCTTTTTTCAACACACATTTGAGCCTAGTTGTAAAAGTTTATGGTTTATAGACTAAACAATATATAGAAAGAACACAACTGACAGATTGATGGTTAATTAAAGTAATTCATGTTTCGTGACATGTAACAAGTGACTAACGGTGATAAAAGTTAACAGTGGAAGTAAAGAAATGAGTGCAGAAGCAGTGATGTTATCCACTTCATCAGTGTACAAGTGCTCCGATCTAATCCGCAGAGTAAAAATGACCTTCCTTTGACCACCTTTGTAATTACCAGATCTCATAGAGTCTAAATCTCCTTACCTCCAGTGGAGTAATTATCAGTGTGACTCACTGAAAAGGCAATTGAGACAGTGGTTTATGGACTCCCATAGTGGAACGTGAGGCAGAGCAGTAATGGGGAGCTTTGTTTGTCCCCTCTCACCTCTCTTATTAGTGACTGACAGCTGTGTTTAGACTAGAGCAGTTGCTAAAAATACAAGGTGGCTCACATTGGACAATTTCATTACCTCCTGACAGGCTCCTCCGCAGCTTCTGATTAGCTCTTAATTTACAGCACTCCTAAATGATGGCAAAGACATTCAGACGGTATAACAGCAGTTAGGGATGATTTGAGTTGACATTTTTCTGTTCTCAGTTTAATTATGTATCTGAGCTGAGTAGAAAAAGGTGATGCACATATTCCAACTATGTGAACTACTTCAAAAAGCAATAACCTTATCTTTAAGAAAGTCATACAATGCACATATACTTATAATTGACTGATTTTACACAAAAGCCACTAAAGATTTTATTCATTTTTGTGAACTCAGTACATTTATGTTCAAGGTTTGTGGATTATGTTTTCCTTTTTGATGACCAGAAAACTTGAATTCGTTCGACATGAGATGATCTCTCGCCTTCTCCTGACCATACTTTATGCTGCATGGAGTACACACAGTTTGATGGTATGAAAGATAGTCCTTAGTCCTTTTGAGATTACTGTTACACTGCAGTCATTCTTCATGTTGGCCTTGGCTGGCCCTTTTCTAAGGGCTATAATATGATGAGCATTTGTTCACATTTGCTTTCTAGACAGCTTAAATGTATCAGTAGATGTTTCTGTATTTCTTTTAATGCCATAAATGTAGAGTATCAGTTAGTATGACATTAATCAGATATGTCATGTAGTGTGTATCAAGTATAACTCCAACTTGTGCAGTAGTCGAAACACTCATTGTGACATATACAGTACTGTGCGTTTGTGGTTAGTTTTCCAGCATTGATATCCTGGGTTGGTTGGTTCCTTAAATTTCACCTGAAGAAATGTAAAAAAAAACGTGCGTCCTGGCGACACCTGTACACAAACATGCACACACACCAACAATGTATAAGATAACTCATGGGGAAGAGTTGTAAACGTAGGTGTTGTGCATTGAGAGGAAAACAAGGAGTCAAGCTCGAATCAGCCCCAGAGAGAAAAGTGCCGTAATAGGGGGGTTGGCAGAGACTACTGAGATAGCGCTGGTAATGAGAGAGCAGGCTGCTCCCCCTCCCCACCCACCCCTTCACTTCTCAACCGCACAGGAAACAAAAATAGCATTTTGTCTGACGAATGAGCCGGCTTTGACCTAGCCTTTCGACCTCTGACAATCAGTCTCGCTTCGTCCTCCAGTACTTCAGAAGCCAGGGCCGGGACAGTCAAAGATAACAGTTGATTTCTTCTGTGGCACTAAAGCACAAAAAAAATAAAAAGAGCTCTGAAGAGAGATGGCAGACAGTTCTTCAAAGCACTGAGGTTGGAGGCCTCAGATTCTCAGTGCTGGTGTTTCATAGTCCCAAATGATTGTTGTTAAATGTCTAAATGGAGCACAAAATGCCACAGTTCAGCTTGTATCTGGTCATTTAGCTGCGTGACTCTCCTCTATGATCTGGCTCATTCCTCATTATAAACATTAACATAGGCAGAGTTGTGACAGCAGTGAAAGTGGGACCCGTGCTCCTACACCCCTCGGGCGTGATGACTAAGTGGGAGCGCTGCTTGCCTCGCAGTCGGAGGACTAGTGAATATGAAACACAACAAAGAGACAGTGGGAGATATAATGAGCACTATAGGATCCCGGCACCCTCTTGCCCTCTCTCCATCATAAGTGAAGCTCCCACTCTCATCCTTCGGCCCCGTGTCTGCTGGAGGAAGGAGCACAAACAATTAGCTGAGACAAGCCGTTTGGATTATGTGCTCAACCAAAGCAATCAGACAGCTGTGGTTAAAAGAATGAGCTTCAGAATGCCAGTTGCCCAGTTAGAGGGGAAGGGAGGGTCAGTGGTCCTGACAGTCTTAACAAGATGACAGAATTTATAAAGCACTGCTGTTAAAGAATATAGTACCTGCGGTGTAGCCCTTATAATAAGGCCACATGGGGCTTCTTCCATATTCCCTCTGTATTTGTTTTCTTTTGCCTCATATTTTTTGTTGTACCTCTTGTTCCTCGGCGTAATGGTTGGCGCTGCAGGAAATTCTCCAATCGTCTTTGATCTTCGCCTGGTTTCGATAATTTTCTGACAGAAATCTCATTTTATCCCCCTTTTGTTTTCTGTTGTCTTTGTTCCCTTTTATTCCATCTTTAAAATAGGGCTCAACATTTTGTCGTTTGCGTAGTTGCAAAAGGAAAAGAGCCGGGTCCTGTCAGGGGCTCAGCGCTTGCTAGACAACTTGCCCCAACATTTCAAGTGAGAATTGGACTCTCGCCGTTTGCACAGATGATATATAATTCATGGTGGGGGTGTGAGAGAGGTGTCAATGTGTCAGGAGGTAGAAGAAATGTAAAAGTGTACTGTTTACTGGCTTTTCTTTGGCTGTGCTTCGGCAGAGAGAGGAAAGAGGAGGATGATCTGATCTTCATCAAATGTTCATCTGTGCCTGTCCTGGAGTCGTAGTGGCCGCACTAATCAAAGACTTGTCTGCCCTGATGTTTTATTCATCTTTTATGAGGCAACCATACTTAAATTATTTAAGTGCATTGATTCTGTATGTATACAAGCTTGTCTACGCCCGTGTTCACAATTGTTTGGCTGCGTTATCAATAGATGTTCACAAACACGCTTTTGAACCAGCATTTGTTATTCAGTCCTTTGTGTTTTTCATTTTAATAGTGTGTAGTTTCTCATAATGCTGAAGATATTAGATTGAAGTGAGGGGTCTTTCATCATATAGATACATTATGTGTTGCAATTAGGGAGTTTGAACACAGGTAGAGGCATTTTTTATTTTATTTATATCATCGAGGAATTCCTGGAGAGAATCTGTTTCATTCAATTAGTTTTAGAGAGAGACAGTTGTAGAAAATACGCAATAAACTTGATTTTCATTAAGCATGATTGATTTTAAAAACTTTTTTTAATCATTAATTTTGAGAAGTATCTCAACCCTGCCTTTTCTCAGTTAAAGGGAATATTGTCTCAATATCTTTCTGCTTGGCAGTCTAGTGTGTGAAGTCCAGTCAAATATCAACAATCAGATTGTGTCTCGTCCCCTCCGAGTTTGTATCATGTTTTAATCCACAGAAAATCAGGTTGGATCCTGCCATGGTCATCTGTTGTATTCATGCTTTTGTTTTCTTTACAAAGCTGTGTAACATCACAGGGTCAAAGCCAACAGCACAAACTCAGATTAACTGTGGTAGTCATTGTAGGAACAATATATTCTAAAGTTTAGAGTCACCAGTTTGTTTGTTTTTTATTTTAAGCCTTTTGCATTTAGCGTGACCTGTGAGTAACCTTTTTGTGTCACTGAACACATACGACTGTTTTGCTATATAGAATATAGTTTCTTTCAAGGATTTTCTGACTTTAAAAAAAAAAGGCTGTCAAGATTTTTCTGTATGTGAGCAAAGGTATAAAAAACCTTTCTATCCACCAAATCTGTATGGAAACTCAGTTTGTCCTTTTTCTATTTAAGGAGCTGTGAAGGTCAGCTTAGATGATGTTTTTTAGCCCAATTCTCCACATATGGTATTACGGTTGACACCTTTAGTAGACATTATTTGTTGTCTGTGTTGTGGTATGGATTTCTACTGACATTCAAACACATTGTGTGTGTGTGGGTGAACTGATGAGCCACCAAACTCTGTATTCAGATGTTTTTGAGTGAACTACCATAGAAAATTACCATGAAGTTAGATATTTTTACATTTATTTGATATTTTTTGTATTATATCTGAGATGGACATTGTGAGTCCATGGGAGTATTTGCATTCTGGTGTGGCTGCAGCTTGGCTCAGCCAGAGTGTTCATCGTTTTTTTAAACAGCATAAAAATTTAAATGTAGAAATGAGGTTCTAATGGCGTGCCATTATTGGATCCAATTAGTTAATGGGTTTATTTCTGAAGTCTTCCAGTGAAGATGGATGTCTCTTTCCTATGAGATTTTAATCCATTAAACCAAAGATTCTGACATTCTCCAAGTGACAATGAAGACTTTTGGCTCCAGAGAGAGCAATTATATCAGTCAAGCTTGATAGCTTTGTCCTCCAACTAAATTAAATTCACTGACTCTATCATGCAGGGTAAAAGCCCTGGAGGACCTTGTTGTGACTTCATGTTATTTACATGTCTCTCACTGTTCACCGTATGCATCCCACACCTCCATGTGTACATGTATTGCTATCTGAGGTGTGAGCGTATATTTTCCAAATAATGAGGGTTTTTTGTTTATGCGCCAGAACACATGTTGTCTCACTCTCACTCATTTGTGTTTGTGTCTCAAGCACAAAGAGGAATCAAACAACTCGCTGTCCTTTCCTCAACAGCTACCTCATCACTGAACTCCCAGCTCCAACACCTGCAGCAGCTCCAACAGATGCAGCAGCACCACCACCACCAGCAGCAGCAGCAGCAGCAACAGCAACATCAGCAGCAACAGCAGCAACACCATCACCAACAGACCCACTCCCACACCCAGAACCAGCTGCCATCCCAGCATCACATGACTCCACCCAGCCAGCAGCAGACCTCTGTCCCGTCTCCAGGCTCTGCCTGCTCCTCTGCCTCTGGACAACTGCAGCAGTCCCCGCCACACCGGCCTAACCAGTCGCCAGCCCGCAGTCTCCCTTCGCCCGTCACCCCGCCCATGCCTTTGCCGGTGAGTCTGCACCAATCCAACGCTTTCTCCTAAACTCAACAGTCTCTTTTTTTGTGCTTGTGTGTGTTTTTCAATTTAAAACTTGCATCTCTCATTGTGTGCAACTGATTGGGATCATATTTCATAGGTTGTGACTACTTATCTAACTCTTAGCTCTAATTTGAGATGTCCAACAGTATCATTAGTAATACCAATGCAGTATGTAAGATTGCTGCATCATATTTTGCATATTCACTTGTTAATGATCTTTAGTGCCAGCAGCTGTGCACAGATAGACTCTCTACCTACCTATTAATATAATCTTTCATGGACACACTGGATGAAGTATATCACATGAACCATAAAAAACACCCAGCTAACTAGTCTTTATATTCTATTAAAAATACATTCATAAACATTACAAATTAGATTTGTACTTCCTGTAATTCCCTGGAGAGCTGAAGTGTGCATCTGACTGGTGTCATTGTTGATGTGATTTTGGGCCGGTCAACCTTGAGAAAACACCTTGTTTGTATACACAATTTTTGATTCTCTGTCAGCGCTTGATCTTTATCAAGTGGCAGCGTTTGAATGGAGGCTGGCAGCTCTTCTGTCTATGTTGAGCTATTAGAATATGCATCTTGTTGCTGAAACCTTGACGCACTTGAGCATATCAAACCTCACAACCAGGCAAGAACCACAATTCACATCCTCCTACGGCAGATTCAGGAGGGATTCTGAGGTTATCTAACCTTGGGCTTTCCGGTCGTAATCAGTCCTGTAATCTTTGCTGCTCTTCCTACTCAACCTCCTTTTTAGTCACTTTGTCTGTCCATCCATCTCTTCCCTTCTGTCCGTCTGGCTGTCACTGTGTGACGATAATAACCTATTTTATATCCCTGTGGTTTCATTTCTGGTGGAGACTGGCCTGGGTCGCCTTTCTGTCCCTGGTCACATTCATCAGCGTCAGACCCTTATTGGGTTGTGGTGCAACCTTCTTTATGGCCAGGATGAGTTGGGCTATTTGTTTCCCCCCTTGCAGCCCTCTCCGGCCCTGTCACGGCCTAGTGAGACTCAGCAGGAAAAACAGCCTCTGGATTTAATGGGCTCCAAAGGCTAGCCGCTACATCGCACCAAACACACTGTCCAGTCTGACTGTGGATAAAAGGGCAGCTGACCAACACACAGATTCACACATTAGGCTTGCATCAACGTACAAACCCTTAAAGCAGACACTTTACAATCAGACTGTCACACCTATACGTTTCTGATTTGCAAGGAAAACCACTACTTTGTTGAATTTCATAGACTCTGAATGTCTTCCTCAGACACACAATGGCAGCAGGAACAGGGTTGTTTTAAAATAACTGCAGTGAGACAACTGAGACCCTTCGCTTTATATAGATTGTCTTCTTCTAAAAGAAGCAGTGAGGCTGATTATGATGACTGAGGACAGACCTCCTTGAGGGGGGCCAAAGGGGCCACATCAGGTGTCATTAAGATATTGCCTCATCAAATAGGATTATGTGTTTGTGTGTGTTTGTGTGTGTGTGTGTGTTTGTGTGTGTGTGTGTGTGTGTGTGTGTGTGTGTGTGTTTGTGTGGAGAAGCAGAATGGCCGTAAAAGGTTTAGTTTCTCTGGGTCAGCGCTGGTGTTTCAAAGCTCGTGTCACCCAGCGAGGGGCTCGCCCAAGGACAGGCCGCAGCCTCGGCACCCACTCAGGGCTGCAATAGGATTTAAACAGCAGCTCCGCCTCTCTCCACTGCCTGGGGTCAGTGATTGGATTTTCAGTCCCAGATTCACTGAGCATCTCGCGGGTTAATTCACATAAGTTTTTAATTCAGGGAGAGTCCCTGAGCACAAACACATGTGAATTGTTTCTGTGATCGGCCTTTTGTATGTTTTTAATTGAAGACACAGAAGGGCATTTCTTGTGTTTCCACGCTTCACGCAGAGGAACTGGTCTGTGCAGTAAAGTCGAGTCATAATTACCATAATACAATCAGCATTACACAGATAACACCCCTATTTCCTGCTTTCATTATTCTGACGCGCAGAATCACCCAGCCATTCAACTATTTGCTGAAAATACAGCGCAGAGCTGCAGAGAGAGACAAACACTCATTATGTTCCAATTAATGTCCCATTGTAATTCTCTTCTCATGGGAGGTGTGTGATATTCCCGTAAACCCATAGTGAGGAAATCCTGAGCATTCATTACATCCCCAGTGTTTTTAGTGTTTGGTGTTTTTAATTTGTGAGACAAAATTCATTAATTGGCTCATTAATATCCCTATTAGAATACAAATCACACCACAACAGACTGTGTCCCCTTGAGTCAATGGTCTAAACTCAGATTACTGCAGCTAATTTGGGTAAATGGAGTAAGAATTTACCTTTCTTCCCCGCCCACACTCTCTTTGCTCCCCAACATGCAGAGTACAGTGAGATGCAGCCTGTGGCTGCCTGAAATAGCCACCACAGTGATGACAAATAGACGGGGGAAGATTATAAAATTTGCTTAAGTGTGTTAATGGGCTGATTGCGGGAGCCCGCTGGATTTTGCTGGAAGTTGATTGATTAGAGCTGCGGGTTTTCTCCACGCCCGGAGAGCTCAGGGATTTGACGGGGTAAAGGCGCTCGCCAAGTCTGTTACACCGGAATTGATCTTAATTAGATCTGAAAGACCTGCCACAGCAGAATGGTCGCGGCGATTAAAATGAAAAACAGGAGAAATTACTGATCAAATTAATCATAATGTCGGGCTACAGCTGTAGGTCTGGTGTAATTTGCCACTCCAGTGAGTTACATCAGCCCAGGCAGGGAGAGGAGAGGCAGTACATACTGATCCGTGGCAGCGGGAAGCTTAGGCCAGCCTATCAACTCTCTTATTCCAGCTTGTATGCCCCAGACCTTCCTCACCCAGCTGCGCCATCCAGTGGAGCCCCAACATCTCCTTCTCTTTCTGTAGCTCTGATCTAATTAGTCGCTTTTTATTGCCTTTTTTTTTTTTTTTTTTTGCCAAATCCTTCTACATAATGTCTTTCTCCCTCCGGGAGCTGCATCTTCGACAGCGTTGCTGCGCTGTCTCTCTGCTGTTCTTGTCATGGCTGTCTTGTCACCAGCATGTTGTGTGTTAGCTAATAGCCTCTGACCTTGGTCCAGTGTCTGGCTGGCTGGTTTTTGGGGGGCCTGGCGGAGATGGAGGCGTCCTGTCTTCCCCCTCCGCCAGACTCCTGCCGTCTGTCTGTGTGTCTGTCTCTACTCCCCTTCGCAGTTGTCTCCTTGATCGCTGTCAGAGCCCCACACTGGGCCTGTCCACTCTCCATCCACACACTCATAGGGGTAATTACAGCCTAGGGGCCTGCCTCCTATCCCTGTGCTCCACAATTTACCACCAAAGCGTCCACAGACATCTCTCTTCTTCCCCACTGCACCCCGACATCACAGGACCGCAGGGCCTCAGACCCACAAGTGCTGCAATTACCTGAGCCTCTCCTCTATCCTTTTCTCTCTCTCCCGTCTCTCTTTTCCCTCTTTCTTGCCCTCTCTCTCCTCTCTCCCCCTTGGCTCCCTCACTATTCCCTGGCAATCAGCCTTCATTAGAAGCCTCTGGTGAAAACCCATCGTCACCAAGGTCAGCGGCTGCCAACCACAACGGCCTTTCAGAGGCCTGGCTGTCTGCACTCTTCGTCTCTCCTCACCTCCTTGCCATTCTCCACCTCTTCCTCCTCCCCCCTCCCCATTCGCTCCACCATCCTCCTCCAGTCTCGGGCCCATCTCTGCTGCTTTTGTCTCCAGCTGAGGCCCCTTCAGACACTCATGTCACTGTTTTCCGCTGCAGTGCACTTTTACTTATGTCAACCGCTGTTAAAATCACCACTGTCCAATTTGCTCTAAATGTGTCTTTTTTTATGGGCGGTGGGGGTCTCTCCCATTATATTAACATGTGTATTAAATGAGCCTTGCACATCGATTAATTGATTTTCCAGATCAGCCCCACGTCAATTCAATTTAGCAAAGCGGGCCACCATCATTCCACGGGGTATTAAATCAAAATTAAAATGACATGCTCAAACGTAGACCCAATGGCTCATACTGTGGCTTGTCGATGAAACTGGCAACGCTTAAGTTGAGGAAAGAGTCCATTATCTATCTTATGTCTCATAACTCAACTGTGGTGTCTGTGGTTTGGAAAAAGATCTCAGAGTTTATTAATAGAAACATAATTTTACATCTTTTTTTTAGCTGATTTCTTCCAGTAAACTACCATGTGCAATATAATTGTTTGTTTTGACATTTTATATATATATATATATATATATATATATATATATATATATATATATATACTTAAAGTTTGCAATGTGCTCATAAAAGCTGAACACATGTCATTTTAAAATGACAAAATGGTGTGTTTATTCAAGTTCACTCCGAGAGATGTGGTCATACCTAATAATGAGAGAAAGTTTTCCCTATTCTGATATATTTTTCAGACATATCTTATTATCTATAACTTTGACTGTTTTAAGAACAGAAAATTCACATTAAATAAATGGATGTAGGATTTTTCCACACGTTAAAAAAACATTCAGGCCACCATGTTGGACATAAATTGTCATCAAACATAATTAATGGTTTAATTAAGGTGAGTAAATAAATGTGGAAGTCAAAAGTGGAGAATCTTAGGGGGGTGGGGTTATGCTGGGGACATCAAAATTCAGTATTTCCTGAAATCTTGAATATGGCTCCGGGTTGGTCGTGTCCTTGTATGTAACATTTATCTTCATGTGAAGTTGCTATGATGTCGTGCACAGCCTCACAGCTGCCCATTATCCACGGCAACACCTGTTTTATAATCACAATTTTCTAATAAAACTTTTAAATATGTATAAATGGTATTTGGTGCCAGCCTGTGTGTTTAAATGGCTGTGTGCTGCTAGTGTTGGCTGTGTGGTTTAGAGCATGAACAGGCCCTCAGCTCTCCAGCAGCTCAGCCTAGCCTCTTATTAATGCACAGG